ATATCAGAATTTATCCATATATTAAAAGTGAAGACTTGCCTTTCATATATCATTGGGAATAGCCCAGGTTGTTGGCACCAAGATAAGCCTAGCATCATTATTATAAAAATCTTATAAGATAATTTTCATGAGGCATAAGATTATACCCTATACACATACACACATACCCCTAAAGCATGCATCAAATCATAAAGAGACACTAGTAGATTACTAGTAATACTTTCCTAGGTAGTTCCAGGTTTTACCATCTGTTCTCTCACTTCTGAAGTGATCAGAGTAAATATCCTCAATGTCATAGCCAGGCTTCTTGAGGGCAATTCAAAAGCTCTCAAGAAAATTTTAAAAATACAAAAAGAACATTTTTTTTCCACTCAGATCATTCATGTACTCTCTCCCCATCTGGTGATACCCTGGTAATACCCTTGGCTGGTCACCGTTAGTGGGACTACTTTGCTGCCATGGTTTTGTAACACCTATGCTTTCCTTTGACTCTAACTGCACTCTCATTAATCACATCCACAGATTAATTTATCATTGGTGTGTTTAGTTCCTCAGGGAGTGGGGAGGAGGCAGGATTCATTACTCAATGGGATCTCCTTTATGCCAGGTCCAGATTATAAGGAACTGGATGTCCACCTTCGGAGGATGGAGTCTGGATTTGGCTTCAGAATCCTCGGGGGAGATGAGCCTGGACAGCCTGTAAGTTGAATCTCTTTATTTCCACACTTTGGGGTCTATTTTGTATATAAACACTAGGGAAAATATCATTCAGTATGACAGCTGAGAGGAAATGTTTTAGAACTCACAAAAAAAAAGATTGAGGGTTTTGTGTTTTATTTTGTTTTGTTTTGTTTTTCCCACCTTGCTATTCTCTTCAAAATGCTCTCACAACATGCAGGGTCTCCATAGCCAATATCTCATCAAAAGTCACATTAAGAGAGGAACATTATTCTTTCTTAGAATGGATTGGATTCCTCTTGAGTATTTCAATTATTTAATGGTATTGGAGCCTCAGGCTCTCTGAGTATCAGCATGTGAGTAGACCTGCTTCCTAGAGAAGGTGCACATAAAAAGGTGCCTTGCATTCTTGCAGGCAGAATTATATATGTTTGCAGCCAAAACAAGAAGGAAGAGAAAACACAGGGACAAATAGAAATAAAATCAAGCTGAGTGCGATGAAATCTCAACCAGATTTGAATTAAGGGATTACCCTGAGAATGTTTATGAAATCAACTCCAGTTGACACAATATTGGGAACTTGGGAAAGGCTGTGGAGAAATCTTTATATTGATATATACATATATGTGTGGGGGAGGGGGTGTGTGTGCCCCCCTCAGGGTGAAAGCATAAAATAGCAATAGTCATTAATACACAGAAAATAACAGCAAAACTAGATTTATGAGCATGTACTCAAATATCAACTATGAAACACTCAATGTAAAAGATCTTGAGTTTATCTTAGATGTATTGTAGAATAAATGAAGAGACAGCTGTTCAGTCAGATTTCAGTAACACATTCCTGCTCTAGTACCGGCACCCCATCCTTACAAGGCACTTAAACTCTAAGCCTCAGTCTCCTTAACCTGCAAGATGAGGCTAACAGGAAACTTTCTCCTATTTCCACTGTGGAGTGGCTTGAAGCAATAAAGATAGCATACATTAAAGCTCTTGGTATGTGACTGGATCAGATTAAATGCTGAATAAATGTTTATTGTCATCAACTTTGTCTTTCTCAAAAACAAAAATAAAACTGATGGGCATAAAAGGGATCCATAATGATTAAAACTGTCCCCAAATCAAGTAGATTACATTGATAAAGAGTGAGCTCCTTCACACCAGAAGTATTTAAGCAGAAATCAACAACCTGAGAGGAACCTGGAGAGGATTCCTTGGCCCTGCAAGAAGAGTTGGACTAGATGACTGATGTCTCTTATGACAAACTTTAGGAAGCTGATCTTGAACTCCAAGAATGGGGACACTCAGGGGGAAAAAAAATTCCTAATTCCTGGAGATAAAATTTAGCAACATTACACCAGCGCATCACTGAGTCTTCAGCTGCCAAAGAAGATGTAAACGTGCATTTTCCAAAGATTGGCAAGATTTTCCTGAGTGTTTTGGAAGGAGAGAGAATGCAGAGGTAAATATATAGGGCTCAAGTAACTTGAGGCTTAACTGTATGAAGGGACTCAGTTAAGGATCTTGTGTCACAGGTAGTAGAAATGAGTCTCAGTTTCATCTGACTCTTCTTCACAGCTTCAGTCCTTTCTCCCTTTGTCCCCTAATTCTGAGTTTATCTGGGATCCTCAGTCACCTGGTCAGCCCTCCAACCTCATTCCTCTCTATAGCTCATAATATTTTCTATGTGTAGAACTGAAAATATTATGAGGTACCTTCATAAATACTTTCATATGTGTAAACATTTAACACATCAATTTATATCCCCAAACCTCCTGGCTGCCACAGAATATTCATCTGACCTAGCTTCCTGTAGAATTGCTGTCTAATATCTTCATGTGTCTGCCTATTTCATTTGATCAGCAAAATATTAAACTCCTCTAAGAAGGCACTTCATCTTCCTCTTTTATTTAGTACTCCATCACTGACAAATGGACCAGTGTCCAGAGTTAGCCAAACTCAAGGTCCTCCGGTCAGTCCTTCACATTGACACATCTGCCCAAGATTCCTGACATCAACTAAAACAAGTTTGCTAAACTTCATAGTCTATGGGAACTCTACAAACTACCCACACTCTCACCAAAGCCATAGTCTCGGGGGTTCCTGCTGTGAAGTAAGTTCACCATGTACTGGTCACCAACTTGCTGAGTCCAGTGAGGAAGAACATCCATACATGATGTAGGATGAAGAAGTTACACAAAGTAGGTGTGTTACTTAGAGGTCAGAAGCAAGGGACAGCAGCAGCCAAGATGCATAGTGGGCTGATCCCCTAGGGCTCAAGAAATCTTCCCAGGACAGATGGAGTCTCAACTGTTCATTGCTCACTGCTATCAGAGATGAGGAATTCCAAAAGCAGTCCATTGTGGGTTTGATGCCCTGAAGTAATATGACTATCTGAAGTAAAGCATTGAAGAATGGGCCCTGTCTCTATCAGAAACTAGAATAGAGCTCAGGGTTTTCCATCTCCTCCTTCTCTCAGGATGTTGCATTCTCAGAATGTTCTATAATTATTCTTGAAAGCTACAAGCAAGTAAAAGGGAGAAGTGGGTCAGTCTAAGGCCCCTGGGGGTACCCGCTATGAAGTAGGTTCACTTTGTGCTGAACTTACACAGCCTTGCTCTAGTTTGTCAATTCACTAGAACAACTCACAACTCAAAAAAAAAAAAGTGTTAGACTTATAATTAGTTTTATTTTAGGGAAAGGATACAAATTAGAAAAAAAAACAGAGAAGAGATGTATTGGACAAACTCTAGAAAGATTTCAAATATAAAGCTTCCCCCATCACCAGGAACATCTTTTCTTCTAGTATGGACCCACCAAGGATTTCCAACCAGGGATTGTTGTTTGGACAAAGCTTGTCCAAACTTTGGTGTCCAGAGTTTTTATTGGCGTTTAATTACCTGGGCACTATTGATTGAATCATTTATTGCCCACTGAGGTCAGTCCCTAGCCCACTCTTCTCTAAGAGGTCATGCTTGTATTTTGTGGTTGGTCTTCCTGTTAAGACTAGTGGTATGACTGGCCCCATCCTGAGTCACCTCCTTCAGCTAAACTACCAAGTGTGGTCTAAAGGGCTTACCATAGACAGCAAACACCTTCCTATTCCAAGGCTCTGGAGGTTACCTTCCAGAAACCAGAAACAATGACCAGACTTCTCTTTAGACTGAGGCCAGATTCTTTATTACAAAACCATAGGCTTTAAAGATACCAAGTGAATGAAACAAAATTAAACCATGCTTCAAATAAAATATAACTGTAAGGTATTTTTATACTATTTTGGATGATTCTGTGGGATCCTTTAGCTAGTATGTTTAGCACTAGCTACAACAATTATGGGGCATTTAATAGTAAATTGAAATAGACCCATTGTGCTAACATAATACCTCAAACTGATCAACCTAAGGAGTTTTTACCAAAAAGATAAGTTCTTTTGTGTATTCCAGAATACACTGATGGACATGCTTTTTTCTTCATACCAATCTGTGAGTTTCTTGAAAGCAAGAACTGTGGAGAAATAGTGTGTGTGTGTGTGTGTGTGTGTGTGTGTGTGTGTGTGTGTATGTGTTTTCCACATCTCACACAGAGCCTGATGCAACACATACTTGTTAAATGGAGTGTTTAAAAACTGCTTTTTACTAAGACAGAACTGTCACCTGAGCTTCTCAGAACAAATAATGGTCTGAAGTTCATACTTTCTCTGGCTTCTGTGTCCTCTAGGCTCTGCCTAAACTAAGCACTCCCTTTTAGACCTGGCCACATGGCCACAGTTCCCACCCCACTCCCCTTAATGCCAGTGTTGCTCAATTTACCTACTATCTCTGAGGCTCCCATCCTGAAGGATTGGACTGAAAGAAATTGGAAAGGTGCATATATTATGCCATGTGAGTCTACAACCAGGTCCAGATCATAATCTTCACAGGCTCTGAGTCCTGAAAATATTGTCAGGTCCCATTTCCCATATACAAATACAAATAAAACACTAACCTGTAAAATAAACATAAGGCAAAGCAACGAAGTTACAACTCCTTCCATTAATACAGTCATTAAAATGTGAAATTTTTACTTCGCTGGCTCATGCTTTGTCTGTTTGGGGAGTAACCCAGCATTCCATTCAGTCAATAGTATCTTCAGTTAACCACCCTCTACCAGAAGTAGAAGGGCTTGCCTGACTGAGTCATGGGAAGAGCATAGCTCTGGCTAGCTTAAGAAAAGACAGGTCCTGCAACACTACATGTCACAAAAGCCAGAGAAATGTCACCCAATTGGAACACACATTGCTCAAAATGAAGCAATGCAGCCATGGTCATCCAATCAGCCTCAGAACATCTTTCCGCCTGGTTTGGACACAAGTTTCCAAATTCCCAACCTTTCTGAATATTGGCTTTGTGTTCCTAAGTCCTTTCTCCCCTTCAGTAGGTAGTCTTTAAGTATTTATGATAAGCCTCCTCTGATTACATGGATTTCTGGTTATCCTTATTGTGTTTATTTAGGTTTATTCCTGTTTATTCCTTCATTTGAATGACTTATGACACGCTCCCATGGCAAGTTACAGTTTTGACACTTAAGCCATAAAGTAGAAGCATAAATCTCTGTGATACAAGCAAAGCCACAAAATGAGCCTTGAAAACCAGAACATGGCACCTCAGAACCACCATGTCAGGAAGAGGGAGTCGACTATAAAGACCTCCCATCTGCCTCTCCTTCCTGTTTTCCCACATTCTAAACCCAGAGATGACACACACACTGAGTACACTCACCTGATTTAATTGCTGGTGTGCTACAAAGGGAGAGGTGTATAGGGTGATTAGGTTTCCAACCACAGGAGGTCTCATAGGTAACATCAAACAGGTTTCTGCCTCCATGTATATGAAATGAAATTGACATCCCAGGGTGTGCATTAAACAGGACAAGTCTCTCCGCAAACAATGAACAGCAGGATTCCAGCTCAAACAATGCATATAGACATTTTTCCTGCAAAAGGAAATACTTTTCACAGTTAAATAACAATAGAAATAGAAAGAAAATTTTTTTAAAAATACAAGAACAAAAAATGGGATTTCTAGCTGTGAGTTGGAAAGAGATGGAAAAGCATCAAGATGGAAAGATCTAGAAAAACACTACAATGGAGAAAGGCCTGTGTGGAGAAAAACCATTCAAAGAAAGAGATGATGGACCTATTCCTGGCATCAGGAATCCCATGCAAATTCATGAAGAACTTTCCAAACAAACATTTGCCACAGTGGCAAATTGTCCCAGCCACAGTTAACTGCAGAGCAGATCTTCTGGTGTTGAGTAACATTGGACGGGTAGTGAGGAAAGAATTAAAGGAATTAAAAGGCCTGGAGAGAGGGCTTTGGGTCTTATTTGTTTCTTGTTTGTTTTTGTTTTCTTTTTAGCATTAGTCTTTTCCCTGGCTCACTGGGGTATCAGCCACTTGAATGTGAATTACTATTATTTCACATCAAATGCTCTATTTTGTTCTGCGTCCTCAGAGCCTGAGATAAAGTAGAATTATAGAGTTGCTCTGTTTCTTTATTTGTTTGGTGGTTTTTGTTTGTGTAGGGGAGGCATTTGGAAAGACAAGGGCCATAGATCAGTTGTGGGGACACACAATCTTTGTTGATCTGTTTGGCTACAAAGCTCTTCCTTCAGGACCAGAGCCATCAGGATGTTGTAGAGAAGTGACAGTGTGGCCAAGAGTCAGCAAGACCAGGAAGAAGATGTGACTCGGTGGGTAAGGGAACCAGCCCCTTTCAGCAGACCTGGACAGTGATCATTGCCACAGGTCAGGGAGCTCAGACCATGGGGAGAGTCTCTCAGTGAACTTGGGAGTGACCAGTGAGGCCATAGAACCTTTGGCTATTGGGCCAAATAAGAATGGCCCAAACCTTGATACTCAAAGTGTGATTAATCCATGAAACCAGCAGCATCCAACATTCCTGGGGGCTTATTAAACAGTCAGAATCTCAGGCCACACCCCAAGTCTACAGAATCAGACTCCTGATGATGGGTACAGAACTGTTTTTGACAAGTTTAACCAGGTGATTCCTGTACACCCAAAAGTTTGAGAACCACCAACTTGAAGGTTCAGATATCCCAGAGCTTGTTCTCAAGAGCTTAAGTGAATATGATAGCATATATACTGGGAAGCCAACCTGAGTCACAGGGAAAGAAGGAATCATAAATTATCCAGCCCTTCAGTTAAAGAGGCAAATGGGAAATAATAGAGTTGTCAAGTGAACAAATCATATTTGAAGTTTTTTTAAAAAAAAGTTATGTTTTCTTCCTAATTAGGCACATAGAGCTATCGCTGTGTCAGCAATGAAATCCAATCACAGAGATACAAAATTGCCACCAGCTGAGGTGTCATTGCTGCATGAGGTCTGGAAGTAGTACCACTATGAGTTGTCAGCCTCTACCCAGCAAAAGCAGCAGCTTCTGATGGGTGGCGCATGAGTTCTCCAAGGCCATGTGCCTGAGGATAATCTCTCAGTAGGCCTGAGATGTGACCAGTGAAACCACAGATCCTATGACCACTGGACCAGGTGGGAATGCCCAGACCCTTGGTGATATACTGTGCGCAGTACAGCTAATGGACAAACACCTCTCATGCCTACCCACTGTACCAGGCTTAGTTTGAGTTGTTTTTTTTTTAATAACTATAACAACCTTTTTTTGAAACCAGATAGAGAATAAATTATGCAATTATACAATAATATGTAATAATTATGCAATACTGCATAATAAATTATTGTGTTGAATTTTTTGTTTTAGATTCTCAGTTGAAGTATTAATAGAATGTACTGTTTAGAAATCTATAAAATCTGAGACAACAAAGGAAGATTTGAAAGTGAATCCAGTGAACTTCACTCTTAGCTCAAATGTCAATTTCTCAATGTTGCCTACTCTAAGGAGCCTTGGCCACATGACTGACATCTCCCTATACACCTTGCTCTATTTTTGCATGGCTTCCTGCATACTATGTAATTTACACCTTTATCAATAATATGCCCACTAGAATCGAAGCTCTGTAGGGCAAGGATTTTTGTTTATTGCTCACTGATGGATTTCAAGCATTTAAAAGTATCCTTAGGCTCAATGAATATTTGTTGAATAAGTGAATTAATGATGAGAGTATCTCATTTCATAGCCATATGTTAGGAAAGCAGATGTTTTTCTGTGATCTTTCAATGAATGATGTTAAATTGTTAGCACAGAATGTAACTTCAAGAGTACTTGTGTATCTTTGATCTTTTCCTATAGCAGGAATAGGAATGTTTCAATATGAATATTTGCCTTTATTATTTTCCTACAGAACCCATTTACCGCTATGGCCCTCTTAGTTGTAACCCCTATTTTTTGTTTCACTTTCATTAGGTAAATCGGAACTATATCTCATAATTGATAATTAATCAGCCAAGAAATTCACAAACCACTTTTTTTTTCTATAACTAGCTATATAAACCCTTATACTGAAGTGTACAGGAAATCTAAAGGTTGAAGCATTTTCTTTGGGCTAACCCAACTAAATGCAGCTTTTCATGGGGGCAGTCAAGAAATATAAACATTCATATTAACTGGATTTTGCACAAAGCACATATAAAGTCTTTGAAGTACTCCATAGTGGGTTGAGCCTTTTGAACTGACAGATTAGAACGTCTTTGAAAGAAATTCATAAATTCAGGTTGGCATGACAAAAAGGGAAAATGGAGACTGTCGGAAGCATGCCCAACTTCTGGACTAAAGAACCACACTGTGCAGCCAGTCCAAGGCAGGAGATGCAAGGCCTTTCCTGTGACAGCAATCCTGAACACTCCTCCGAACACTAATGTTTAACACAAAAGCAAATCTGTTCCCCACCCCTCAGGTGTAGGGGGAAAGCAGCAGGAGTGCTTGGAATTGTTGTTCCTCTAGAGAAAGACAACTACACAATGGGACCAGGTGGCGGTGTCCTTCATAGTAGACCTCATAAGTCCTGGCCATTCAGATTTGGTTGCCATGCTCCAGCTACCATGAGCAACGTCGTGACCAGCTAGAAAGGAGGCGTTCCACTGCCAAGCCTGAAGACTCGGAAGGGCTCCAGGTCAAGGTGGAGCAAGCTAGCTAGAACCCAGAGGTCCAGGACTTGAAAGAATGTATTATGCCTGAAAGAAATCAACCTATGAGCAAGTGTCACTTCGTAAGGATTTTAAACCTGGAGGAAGGAAAGGCCTCTGTGGTATTATCAGACTAATAGTAACCACTGTCTTCAAATACTGTGTGGCTCAGCCACAGACAAAAGAAAAAGGAAAAAAAAAAAAAACATCATTCAAGAGTTGGAAAAATTATTTGAAGATTAAACAGTAAACTAAAATGTTTGGTACTATTTTCTTTCTTCTGAGACAGAAAAGGCCTTGCTAATGGGCTCCAAATTGAATGTTTCTAACGGGGTGTGGGAAATCTTATTCATTTCCTTTCATCCAAGTGTCTAGTTGAGAGAATTATAAGAATATCCACAGTTTCCAGATATGTTCCTCCTCGTTTCCTGGCACAAGGTGCCTTGACCCAGCACAAGCACTCCAGGGGCAGGCAGAACTGCGAAGGTCCTTTGTGTTTAGGAAACATTCACAGGAACGGAATCTAGAGAAGATTTGACTGAGTGTTTTTATGTTTTTTTGTTTTTTTGTTTTTGAGTAACTCAACTGGACAGAAAAAGACATCATCTATGAGTTTTGTTTTGCTCTGTTTTGTTTTCTCCTTACCCTCCAGCAAAGCAAAGCCAACTTTTTTTAAAAAAAGAGAACTTTGAACCTTCAGAGTTTAATAATGTACAACAGCTGAATTCCCCCTGACATTTTTTGAGCACTCACTATGTGCCTAGAAAAAGGTTCAATGCTTTGCATGCATAATTTCTTTCAATTCACTCAATATCCCTGCGAAATAGGTCCTATTATTATTTTCCTCATTTTACAAGTAAAGAAACTGAGGCTCACAGAGGTTAAGAAGCCTTGCCCAAGTTCACACAAATAAGAACTGGAGCCAGGATTCAATCCCCACCTCATTTCAATGCAGAATTCATGTGTGCTGGCCAATTAGCATCATTATCTTAAGTTGGAATTTTTCCTAAGGGGGAACACTTATGAGCCAGGAGGTAGGTGTCCCTAAACTTTATGGCAATGAGCTGTAAGTTCCAAACATTTATTTCTCTAGAAGTAAGCAACCTCAAAGAATCAACAGGGCATCCTTCCAGGCTCTTGTTTTTCAATTACACACACACATACACACACACACACACACACACACACACACACACACACATTCACACATACGTTTGAAATGTGAATGTCCCTTCCTTCTCACTGCTTTTCTAGATTTTGATTGGAGCTGTCATTGCCATGGGCTCAGCCGACAGAGACGGCCGCCTACACCCAGGAGATGAGCTCGTCTATGTCGATGGGATTCCAGTGGCTGGCAAGACCCACCGCTATGTCATTGACCTCATGCACCACGCAGCCCGCAATGGGCAGGTTAACCTCACTGTGAGAAGAAAGGTGCTATGTGGAGGTAGGTACTTCGAGCCGGCAGTAAGAGTTGGAGCTTAGGTGGTGAGATGCTTTTATGGGAACACTTGAAACAGACCTTTAAAGCACTTTCTGTATTACATGAGAATGAAAACAACCCAGAATAGTCTAAAAGCAACTATGATTTTGAAAGTACACTAGTACAAAAATCCAAATAGTCTTTGAGACCTACATTTTAAATGTAGTCATTAAAAAATTCTAGCAAAGCCCGGGGCTATTTTAAGATATGTATGCTCTTTGGTCTTTGGTACATGCTAGTTATAAGAAGAACATTATATTAACATTATAATAAGCCTTTGGAAAATGTTTCTCATTGTATTTACAAACAAAGAACTACCGAATTTTGGTGCCATAATAAGGAAACCAGGATGGAAAATTAGCTTTCATTGTAGAGTCTGATAAAAGGTAACAATAAAACTGTTAGCCTGTGTTGAAAAATACAGCTCTCACTCTGAGAAAACATAATTCATATGGCTCCAAACTTATGAAACAGATAAATTAGAGTAATTATTCCCTTCACAACCATTTCTTAGCTTCATAAAAGAATTCACCAAAGACAACTTTTAAAAGTCAGACTGCATATTCATAATGTGATCTAATTTACTTCTCATCGCTATCTAAACCCCCCAAAAAGATTTATATGCTGACGGGATATGTCTATTATAAGCACCATATTGTTTTTGTAATATGAACATTGAATAACTCTGGGGTTATGGATCTTCCATAAGAACCGCCCATTCCTTGTCTAGTGAATCACTGAAGCAGCAACTCCAATGATGTTTCCCTGTCACCTCTGTGCCAGGGGCCTGCTGGCCTCTCTGTTCAACCCCTTGACCATCCCCCATACAGACTAATCCAGTTCTAGAATTAGGAGGGACCTTCATGGCTTCTTCTCATTACAGAGTAGGAGACTGAGGTTCAGAGGGTTGGTGGCTTCAATGAGTTGGTAACCACATGGAAATGAAGTCTTACCTCTAGGCCAAGGCTTATTTCCTTATGCCACTTTCAGGCCCCCTTCCCACTTTCAGACAGCATCCCTACCCTAGTGAATTCAAAGGCAAACCTTTAATGAATATCACTCCCTAACCTAAGGAGACTTTTATATGTGCTTTTATATAACATTGAAATAAAAAAAACAAGGGCCACCTGCTAATCACAGGTTGTGAATGACTAGAGAATGCATGATTTATGAGACTAAATATTTTTTCTTTTTGAATCCTCTAGAAACTAGACTTTGAACAAGGGCAATCATTTAAAAGCACAAGTCAAAAGAATTGTCAGCCCTCACCAGTAGAGACTGCTATATATTTTATATTGTATGGAGGTTTCACTAAGAGTTGCCATTTGTCTTTAGGAATTCATGGCACACCACCTGACCCAAAGAAGTAAAACACCTTGAGTTATGCCTTATCCTTGGGCGAGATGCCAGGAGGAATACTGTGTTTGCTTGGTTAACATTTAACTGTCTCTCTCCCTGCAGAGTGATTTTTAATAAAAAGTTTGCTGTGCTATATGTTCTGTAACCTAGAGATAAATTTAAAAGATACCTGATTTACAAGGAAATATACAGCAAAGTGCAAAACCAATGTACCAACATAATTTCATGCTCCCCTTGCCACTGGCTGATTATTGCAAATTAAATTTTGTTCTAATCAACCCAAGCTGTTGGAGTATATGCCAAATGCTACACAAATGTATCCTTGCAATTTGTGGATCATGTGACTTCCGTAAAGATGCTCTTTGCTGCAGTTTTTACCAACTTTATTCTGTTAGGCTTTTGAGTGCGTTTCAAGTGCATTTAATTTTTGAAAATGTTCTGCTGTAGACTGCTCGTTCACACCAGGAGAGTTTCCAAGTTAATTCAGCCCACTCTTCCTTGAAAGCTTCATCAGTGTTGAGAATGATTAAGTTTAGCAAAGGATACTTTGAGAGCAAAAGTAAATGCCCCCCCAAAAAAAGAATGGATGAGATTTAAAAGTCAGAGGAGGATGACTTTTTTTTTTATGGCTGCCATTTCTTCACAGAGAAAGGACAACTACAAATGGATATGATGATGGAGATGCCTTTTGGAGAATTGTTACCATTGTTGTTGTTATTTTGATTCCCTAAACAAGGCAGCAGGAGGTGCAAGCCTGGCTTCCGATGGGATGGCACAAGGCTAAAGAGAAGTCAGCAATCAGCTTAGACAGAAAGAGAGAGACGGAAGAGGGTATTGCCGCCACCTTCTCACATGAAGGAGTGGCAGTATGATGCATGAAGGGCTGGGGCTGAGAGAAGTTCTGAAGATTACCCCCTTCAGTCTTATCCTAGCCTTAGCATGTACAAATGCCCTGCCCCATCTCCAAAGGCAGAGGGCATTGGCTTCTTAACTGGTGCTCCAGAAAAAGAACACATTCACAATGAGACAAAGACAGGTTAGTAACATTGGGGAAAAAAATTAAAATAACCCAAAGACAGTTCCAAATATTAAATTATTTAAAAAGTATACATTGCAGATAGAAGGGCAAAGTTTTCAGTTAAGCAATGTCAAGCTAGATCCCCCAAAGTGAGAAATTGTTGAGTAAGGAAACCAACTATTCAGTAGTGCCTCCAATTTTTTTTTACCAGATAATTGTAGTACAGCTCTTGCACCTTGAATTAGTTTGCCACCCACTCCAAAAATAGCTATATTTTTTTTCTCAAGGATAGTGGAAAAGTGGCTTTAATTATTATACTGAAAGTATAAATGTTGATATGTTTAGAGCTTAGCTTTGAGATGATTAGCCTAATGAAATTATTTTGAGTACACACCATTTGTTTGAGAGGATAGTGTCTGAAGAATTTCCTAAAATGTAAATCTAGAAGGTGAAAGTCAAATGGCTTAATCAAAACATGTTACAGCCCCTCTGAAAGCTTTCAGCATCTCTCTCTGACACCTAAAGGGAAGTCTATTTCTTGGCCAGATGCTGAAAAAGGAAAGGATTTCTTGGAAGCAGAGTGAAAAGTTCAGCCAGTATTTCAGGTGACAGTGCATTCCCTGGCCCTGCTTTCTATGCTTTGTCCCTTCTAAATGCCTTCCATTGTCCTTTGTCTATGAGCATGTCACCCATTTCAGTAAGGTGTCTATCTCGACGAGTATGAACCAGAAGTGCTCACACAGATGCCACAGAAGGCCAGCCATGGCCATTTGCAGGGCCACATCCTGGGCCACCCCTGCTCCATGAGGTACTGGAGGTCCTGGTGCACATGCATGTGGACACCCAGCCCACTTATTCAAGTTCTGTCCACACACATGCCCCATTGCCTCAGCCAAGCCTGAAGGCAAGATCTGCCCATCTGAAGTGCTGTAGTCCTTCAGGAGGACAGGAGAGCCTCTCCCAGTCAGCACAGTGATGATTTCCAGTGTCACTAGTGGGAATAAACAGAAGTTCAACCAAAAAAATAATTGTTTGACTTTCAGTAAATATTAAGTAACTGAATTCTGTACATCCATTTGTGAATGAGTCAGGAGAGTCCAACAGGGATCTTGGAAATTCATGGTGTTTTTTTTAATGCATATGGTATTTAGTTAGTTTATGACATTTTCTATATTGTTCTAAAACAATAGTATTGGTTCCCTATACCAGCAAGGATTGTTAGAAAGAAGATCCAGTACCAAATGAATGAAAAATGGTGTTTGGTGTCCCTTAAAGATAGTCACGCTACCAGTTTTCAAAAGCCAGGAACCCAGGACAAGCCAAAAAGAACTTGGAAATGTTCTTAACTTCCTGGTTTAAAATACTCTTACTTTGCTAATGATAAAGAACTCTTTTTCCTAGATGTTAAAAGAGGAGTTCAAAAACAATAGAGAAGACTTCTTCTCCTGAATTGGACTCTTCCACTTACCAAGACCATTCACATTGACATAGTCAGTGATTTTCTTTGTCTCTCAACAACCTGTGGTTTAGCCACTCCCAGCTATTTACTGCAAAGACAGATAATTCTTCTTTGTTGCTGATTTACTGACAACCACTGCTCTCAACACCCTAAAATATGACAGCCAGAAAATGAGATCTTTCTTGTCACTGCCTATGACATTTAGTTACTGATTTGGTCCAATAACTTGAGGAGATTTTCAATTTAATGTAGCAGCATAATAATTGTTTGTTTTTCTTCTTCCAAACTATCTCTAATCACTTTATTTCCAACTTGCACAAGGACTGATAAAGGACATGTGCTTTGCCAAGACAATAACAGCTTGTCTTTGGATATAATGTTTTCTGCCAGGGAGAGTACATCTTACAGGGAGAAATTTTAAATTTTAGTTAAAAAAGAAGGAAAGGCTTTGACATTGACATTTTTTTCTTTTCTGACCACAATACATTTTTTATGAATGAAGAGCATCTTTTTAAAATTAAAACCTTATTAATTAAATCTTAAAGAAAAAATCAATTTATCAAATAATAATAACAGTAGCCTAGGTCTCATCCATTCTATAATTACAAACAAGAAATTAATATATTTTTAATGACATTTTAATTTTTTTTAGTTACTTAGAAATACATTTTGCATTGTTGCTCATTTATTTGAATTTTAAATTGATGTCACACAGTTTTTAAAATCTAGACATAAGAATAAAGGCAGCTCCTTTATTAGTTATCAGTATAAATATGCTGTCAGTCTCTGTGTTCTTTTTCTCTTTTTCATTTCAGAATTGTGATAGTCAGCTTCACATTACTGTAACAAATACCTGAGTTAAATCAGTTTATGAAGAGAAAAGGTTTATTTTGGTTCATAGTTTTGTGGGTTTCAGTCAAACTCATTGACTCTATTGCTTTGGACTTGTGGCAACACATCATGGTAGGAGTGTATAGAAGATCAATACCATTTACCTGATGGCCAGTGAGTAAAAAAGAAGGGAGTGGAGGGATTGGCATCCCACTATATTTCAAGGGAACATCACCAATGGTTAGACCTTCTACTAGGCCCTACCTCTTAAAATGTTCATCACTTCAAAATAGCACAAGGACTAACTAACTTTAACACATGGGTTCTGGGAGGATATCCCAGATCCAAACAAGAGCACGAATGGAATTGGAGCTTATAAAGTGAAGAGTCTTCAGTGGAAATTCTGATCATTATTTTTGACTTGCCATATGAAACACCTTCCAGTGTTTTAAATTATAGAGACCATCCAAAGACCCAAGGAACCACTGATTGTCATCATTTCCATCTTATTGTTCCTCTGTTTTAAAAACATCTTTTAGTACACTAATCAAATTTTAAGAAGGAAATGAAACGGTTCTATTTCTAATTACAGTATTCTAGGTGCCTGCTTCAGTTATTTTAATCAGAGTGCCAATACCTAAGTGTTAAATTAAAATGACAAAATTCTTTCTGGATGGCAGATCAACTTCCATTTCAAAAACTAGCCTCTCTTGGCTGCCAACTTTCTATCACTCTGCCACATAAATGTGCTTGCTTTCTTGGGGAAGTATTGGCTTGTTTTATCTGGTGGGAATAGGATATATTTTGTAATATGGAGTGTAAATGAGCAAGATCTCCAACACCTCCATAGCGATTCACAATTTCTAATACCTTCGCCTGATATTATTATTTGATTTGATCCTAGAATGAACAAACTACTTTTATTACAAAATGAAAATCTCTATTTTTTAAATTGTTTTAAACTATTTTTATTGAGGTATGGTGGGCATACAAAAAAAAAAAAAACATGCAGACTGCCTTTAAGCAGTATATTTTCCAGACACACGAAGAGAATTAACACTTCTAGGCTAGCAGAATACCATAAAATAGAACTATGGCTCTTCAAAAAGTAATGGTAGTGAACTTTATGTGGATATCTCCTGAGTTGTTAGCCCCACTTAACATCTACAGCCCCATTACTCAAAAGCCTTGAAACTTGACCCAGATCCCTGTGCCTAATTTTCCTTAGACCTATTAAAAAAATGTTCCATGATGGGTCCTAAAGGTATACTTATAAGTGGTTCATATACGCAGTAAAGTTGAGGATTCTATTTGGTTTTGGGTCATCTTTGGTCAATTATTATGCACCTAAGAAACTCAATGTCTAAAAATAAACATTATTGCAAGGGTCTGCATTCATAGCAAGAGGAAGATCCAAAGCAACCACAACAAGAGGGCTGTTGCTGGGTTTTCCCTGTGGTGTTCTATGAAGGCCAGAACTGGGCCAAGACCCGGCAGGCTCCATAGCTAGTTTTGTAGTCCTCCAAATGTTCACATATCTGGGGGAACGAGGACCAGTCAATCAGTCTTGTAACTATGCCACTGCCCAGGACACTGCCTAGTACATAGAAAGAATTCTTTAAGACCTTTATTAAATAATCGAGTTCCTGTGTCGCATATATGTTCCAGGGGAGCCCTGCCCTGAGAACGGGAGGAGTCCAGGCTCTGTGTCAACCCACCACAGCTCTCCACGCAGTGACTACGCAACTTACACCAACAGCAACCACGCGGCCCCCAGCAGCAATGCCTCCCCCCCTGAGGGCTTCGCCTCCCACAGCCTGCAGACCAGTGACGTGGTCATTCACCGCAAAGAGAACGAGGGTTTCGGCTTTGTCATCATCAGCTCCCTGAACAGGCCTGAGTCTGGAGCCACTATAAGTAAGTGACTGATCTGCCTGCATTTTAAAAAGGGGTCTTGTTTTTATTGGTTCTAATGGTACAGATAATGGACAAATAGATCAGAAGATGGTTGTAGACACACTGAAGAGTCTGAAAGTCACAGGCTCTGGGCAGATAAGCCTAAACCATCCTTATCACTGATGAGCCCCACGTTGCAGAACTTTGCCTCAAAAACCATGCAACACCACCACCAATCCCCCGACCCCTGCACACCCCAACTCCTCGACTCCACTTCATTCATTTGTCAGTTTGGAAGAAATGAAACAGAGGGATGTGGCCATGTTGCTGTGAAAGGTGGGGGTGCTCCTTTTTCTGGGATTCTCTATTGATTGAAAGCTGTTCCATAGAATGAGAGCAGATGTGCAGAAGATGGAGGGGGAGGGCGATCCAGGCCTTCAGGTGGGAAGGAGCCTGGTATTCAAGAAATATACATGAGCCCCGTGTGACTGTGTGTCATGAGCCAAAGAGAGCCATGTGAGATCAAGACATGGAATTAAGCAGAATTCAGGCAGTGCAGCTCCAAACACTGTCCGTCTGAAGTCTATGTGGTAGTCTGAGTAGGTGAGAAGGTTTTAAGCAGTAGACTGAAATCTGAATTGTGTTTGAAAGATGAGTTCAGCTGCTCTTGGAAAAATGAAATCAGGGTGGAATGGGGTGGAGTGGGAGCAGGAGTAGAAGCACAGGACACAGTCAGGAGGCTGTGAAAACAGCCCTGTGGGGCCAGAGGTACTGGAGCCCTCTCCTCAGGTAATAGCACTGGACAAGAGGAGAAATAGATGGGTTTGACATTGGAGCTTCCTCCAACTCCAAGGTTCTGTGAGTCTGTACAACACGTAACACAGACCTCATTCCTCTCCCAATCATCCATCCCTGTGCACTCTCCAGCTTCCTTGATGGCTTTCCTTGTGGCATCAACATTCCAGAACCCTCTCAGCAGCCAGCAAGCAGCAGGACAGAAAGGGGATAGAACAGCTTGTCATTTTTTATGCTGAAGGGACTTAGCCCAAAATGTTGTGGTTAGAAACACCAGAACAGAGGAGCATTAAAAGAAGAAGTAAGAATAGTTGCACCATGTTGTTGTCCTAAAATTCTTATTAATTGTGGTAGTTTCCAGCACGTGTGGGTTAGGTGTGAGTGTTAAGCAACACTCAAGAAATTATTGTGAATGAGTAAGAACTTGATATGATAAAGTTAATGTTGTCAAAAACCCACCAGAACTACATGGAGAGAGCTGCCCCCATTTAGCTTGAGCCTTGACAAATTCAAGAGAGAAAACTACAGAAGCATTAAACCTCAGCAAATATGTGCAGAAGCCAAATTACATACATCTGAAAGTACAATTTCATTTCTGTTTTTCTTCATGATAAGCTGAAGAAATAAATTCAATCTTTAAGCATAGACTAAAAGCAGTATTCTGTCAGCACGATGGATTCACCAAGATTAAAAGGACACGAGACTAAAGATTTTCATGAATTATATAAACAGCCTTCCAATAATTTACACTTGGGGAAAATATTCACAGAGAGCTTTTGTAGCTATTCCAGTCATTCAAATTGTTTATTGGGGCAGAATACCTAGAGGACTGGAATAAAAATAAAAAGTATACGACCACAGTGAAAATGTTAAGCATGTATTTAAGGTCTCAGCTTTATTTAAAACGTGGTTGCTTTCTTTCTAAATGGTAAGAGTGTGTGTGTGTGTGTGTGTGTGTGTGTGTGTGTGTGTGTGTGTGTTGCATAAATACATTTGAAAAAAAACCAGCAGGTCTAATGCTTACAATTAATGTGTGAATTTTTCTGCCTAAAAAGTGACAACACATTGACCTTAAAAAAAAAAAACAAAACTCAAACCACTTTCAAATGACGCTATTTTACCTCACTCTGGAGAGTGAAATATATTCTATTAGTTCATGATATCTCATGGCTTCTTTTATCACATATTTATTTCTTTTCAATTTAAGGAGTTCGGAGTGCAAGTGGCCCCGTACTCTGTGGCAGAAGCAGCTATTATTGCTGATGGCCTGTTGTTTTTACAACACATAATTTGCAGCAAGCCCCTAAAAGATTGCTGGAGCTGCTGCTCTCTCCTACTTAACTTCTGTAATGATTTTGATCTCTAATTTTGAAGAGAAATGCTGAGAGCCAATCCTTGGGCCTCATATTCCCTGTCAAAATGCCAAGGGTGCTTAGGTTCTAAAGACTGACACAGGGTGACGCCCTCAGGTGCTTGGGAGTCATGATTGTTCCCAGGGCTTGGCATTTTTCTTTTGATGTCTTAACCTAGCCCATGGGTCACTAACAGTTCATTGTTTTTTATTAGTTTACTCTAGCTACTGAAGCCTTGGCACTGATCGACAAGGTCTCTGATGCCTTGGGTTGGTGCTCCATTACATTTAGGCAAGACAGTAGCATAGTTAACAGCTCAGATGCTACAATTATACTGCCTGGATCTGAAATCTGGATCCATCATTTGCTAACCAGGTGACCTAGAGGAAGTTACCTGACCTCTTTGGGCCTCAAGTTTCCTTGCTTGTAAAGAAAAGATGATTTTAATCCCCATATCATGGGGTTGTGATGAAGGTTAAAGGAATTCACATGTAGAAATTCTTAGAATGACACTGGCTTTGAATAAGCCCTCACTATGTCAATGCTCCTGTCTAGACCACCATCCCTGCTAGGATTCTGCTCCCATTCCACCAGCTCACTTTTCCTTGGCAGCACAAAGTTCTCACAGACTCTTAGCCATTACTTGCCCACTCTCCTAGGGCAGCCAGATCTGGGCAGGAGATGGGCATATCTTGGAGGCCCAGTGCCTCCTCCCCTTAGGCCGACCTTCTGGGAGCATGGTCTTTACCTACCACGGCTACCACCTACCTACAGCCCAGGTTAGCTGTGGTGGTAGCTGGAGCAATGCAGCAAGCCAGTCCAGCTGCATAAACCCTTTGCTAACGCTTCAGGCTGAGATTGCAGGTTTGTCTCCCCAGAATCCATGAGTTCAAAAAATAGAAAAGTCATGAGAAACATTTAAATTTAGACTCAAAGCTATGCCTTTTATCACTGCAAACATTATGTCACTATTGAATATCATCAGAGCAGAGAGAAAAGATGAAGAACCTAAATATTAATGTCCCCTCTGGATAGAGACCCTTCCATAGCTTCTTCAGCCAGGACAACAACTTTGCCAGGGATATGGGCTGTGCAACTAATTAGGGAATTTTGGAGCAAGGTTCCTGGTTTGTTCATTGCCTGGCATTTGATAGGGCTCTTTACAAAAGACCCACATATTCTTTTTTACAATATTATTTCCTCAAAAAATAAAGAAGGCATTTTCTTTGTATTGGTTAATGTCATGAAGGAGCAACCTGCTTGCTTCCTTCCCTAGGTTGTGATTCCAGAGGCCAACTATCACTTGAAGGTGGACAAATCTTAGAAGCCACCTACCAGTAGTACAGAGATATCCTTCCTGACTTAAAGTGAAAGTACACCCGCTTCCTGAGCATGTATACCCCATTATTCTCAGTATTAAGTATTTTTTCAGGCCTTAAAATTGAGCCCAAGGAAAAACAAAGTGGTTTCCAAACCAGAGCCGAGGGTAATAATGAACTGTAACAGACAATTACATCTCAAATTCCTAAATGTTTTGAACACATGTTTTGCTACACATGTGTTAGCTTCTTGTCACTATGACAAAATAACTGAGAAAAGCAACTTAAAAGAAGGAAAGGTATATTTTGGCTCACAGTTAGTTGGCTCTGTTGTTTGGGGGCCTGTGATGAGGCAGAACATCATGGCTGAAGCACACGGCAAAGGAAACCTGTTCACCTCCTGGAGGTGAGAAAGCAAAAGACCGAAAGAGGAAGGGGCCAGGATCCCAATGTCTCCTTCAAGGTCATGCCTTTGCTTATGGAGCCCCACTCTTAAAGGCACCACCACTTCCAGTGCCAAAGACTAACAACCAAGCCTCTAGTATGTGGGTCTTTAGGAAACCTCCAAAATCCAAACAATAACAAAGGTGTTCATTGTCTTATTATTGATAAACATAGAGAACTGGAAATAATGATGGTTGCTTTTTAAACTGGTAGCTTTGATATTTTTGTGAAGTTGAATCATTTTCTTCCATTGATTTCCTGTTGTCACTCTCACTGAGGTCTATCTCCAGGGACCCTTCTATCTCTGAGCCCATCAGATGCTTGCTCTATAAAAATGTCCTAGTGGCTGTGTGCAGGAGTGTCACTGATAGACTGGTCCTTGGGTGTCCCCAGCTCAAGGTCTGAGTCCTGACATCCAGGTTTATGGCAAAACTGTAACCTGTTCTTAGAGGTGCTTCCAACTCCCCCACCAAACCTGCCCTCTCACCAGAGGTTTCCAAGAAGGGCTTTGCTACAAATGATGGGGAAAAAAAGTAACCCTTGATCACCATCTTGGGCTTGGTCAGGAAGGCTGGACTGGAATTTCTGGGGTAGACATACATGAGCAGATTGGGCATTAATATTGGACACTGTCAGGGAATATATAAACTAGCTCTGATGTACAGCAGATTCAGGACAGCACCAAAGCATCAATCTACACATTCATCAGTAGGGAACAATCATCTTGATTCTTTTTCCTTTGTTCTTGTCTTCCTACTGGTATTGACTTGGTTTCTTCCTTTATCCACAAGTGCATCGCTGCCCAGCACACGCTTGACTTCTCGGCAATCTTTGAGCTCTGTACTAGTGTGAAAACCCTTTGTTTCCACATGTGTACTTTCTCTGGTACAGGTGGGAATTTGGACTTGGTCTTGGCTGATGTTCCCTGAGGCCCAGTGCCATCTGGTATTCAGGGAAGGAGTAACTTTTCCTTGGCAAAATGCCCTGACAACCTTCTCAAAGGATCCTTGAGGATGTCCATAGGCTGTGGAGTTTTAAAGTTTTTCAAGAAATTCAAAAAGTTACCTAGCTAGTGTTTTGTGATATTTTTTAGCCATGGTCCCTGAAAATA